AGGAAAAGACGGATTTTCTGATTGGCGACATTTGGCTACACAATTATCCCGACATGAATCAAGTATTGATCATATGTTCAATTATCAAAAGTGGAATGAATTGAAAAAAAGACTTAGTAAGAATTGTACTATAGACTGTGAACAACAACGATATTTTGAGTCGGAGAAAAGAAGATGGCGTGATATTATCACCAGAATTGTTGCAATTGTACAGTATTTAGCAGGACAATGTTTAGCTTTTAGAGGTGATTCTGATGTATTATATGAACGAAATAACGGAAATTTTCTAAAAGGTATAGAAATGCTGGCGAAATTTGATCCAATTATTTCAAATCATATCAATAATATTCAAAAAAGTAAGAAGTACAGTTACATGCCTCATTACCTAGGACACTCTTTCCAAAATGAAATTATTACGGAACTGGCTAATTCGATAAAAACTAAAATTCAAGAGTTAATAAAAAAATCGAAATATTTTTCTGATATTTTAGATTGTACGCCAGATGTAACGCATGTTGAACAAATTTCTGTTGTAGCCAGAATAGTGGATATAAGCACATCTATTGAAATTAAAGAACTATTTCTTGGGTTCTATCCAGTATTGGATGCAACTGGAGAAGGATTGTTTAATTTCTTTACCAATGAATTATTAAGTACTTATGATTTAGATGTACAAAACATACGTGGCCAAGGATATGATAACGGTTCCAACATGAAGGGGAAAAAGAGTGGTCTGCAATGTAGACTTAAGAATGTAAACCCAAGGGCTATGTATATACCTTGTGCATCCCACTCGTTAAATTTAGTGGTAAATGATGTAGCTAAGCAAACTTTTGAAATTGTTGCCTTTTTTAATATCGTACACGAATTATATACGTTTTTTTCTGCGTCTCGTTATAGATGGAATATTTTAAAAACAAATATTACTAAACTAACATTACAACCAGTGTGCGAAACTAGATGGGAGACCAGAGTAAAAGCCATAAGACCTCTAAAATTACAATTAAAAGTCGTCATAAAAAGTTTAAATATGTTGCTAGAGGATGACTCCAGAGACATAAAAACGAAAGTTGCAGCAAATGCTTTATTAAACAATATATCTACTT